TGTGTGTGTGTGTGTGTGTGTGTGTGTGTGTGTGTGTGTGTGGAGGGGGAGGTCACACGATGGTGGTGCTGTTATCTAACCAGAAGCTATCTGTGGCCTTTCGCATGCAGACAATGAAAACTTCTGGAAAGCTAACTATAGTGAGGAAAGGAGCTCCAGGCTCTCTGCTTCTCTCAGCCCAGTGGCCAGGCCTAACCAGAACAAGGTCAGGGAATGTGGACCACAGATAGCAGGAGAGCTTGGCTGGACAAAGGTGCCAGAGTTCTGGAGCCTGCCAGGCCAAGGAGGCATGGTTTTCTGTCAGATGCCAGGCCAAGGCTGTCATGAGAAGGAAGCATCAGCTCTGAGCTTCTACAGAATGGGAGCTGTGTGCATTGGTGTACTGGCCATGAAGAACAGCAGGAAGATTAAAGCAGAGAACTCAAGCTCCTGAAATCTAAATCAAACTCTCTTCCAGCTTCCCTGGACCATCTAGGCATATCTATAGCTACTGGTGCCTGTTTTTCCTTCTCTAAAGCTAGGATAATAGAACCATTTTGGGGGCTACTACAAATTATTCTCTCAGGAGCTTGGCATGGTACAAAGGGCTGAGCAGAGTCTGGAGCCAGGCAAACCAGGAATGAATCCGAGCTCCACTGCTTACTAGCTGTGTAACTCTGGGAAAATCACTCCACTTCTCTGAGCATCAATTTCCTCAACTATAAAACGGGACCGATGATAATAAAATAATGCCTGCCTCCAAGAGTTATTGGAAGGGTTAGGTATGAATATTGTTCAGAAAGCCTAGAAAGGTGCCTGGGAGGGAGCTGGGCTTAACCAGGTCAGCTCTCTCCTCCTGCAACAGAGAGCTCCAAGAACAGCCCTTTGGAGGGGAATTGATCAGAAGATTAAACAGAGCTGCAGGTGGCCAGACTCCCAACGAACACATCCTGAGTCCACTTAGGCAAACTGTCACTGGGCTGCTGATACAGGACACCCAACAAGATCCACTGTTTCCCAAAGACACCCCCTGACCCCAACCTCTGCTCTTATCCAAAATACTTAGTGGGCTCAGCAGCAGTGTGGGCTTGAGTACCCCGAGTGATGCCAGGAGAAGTATCAGGGTGCTCCAAGCACTCTCCTTGCACTCATGTGTGACTCTATTGCTGGCTATGGCCACTGGCACCGGAGGCGACTGAGGGCAGGGTTTCCTGAGCAAAGATAACATAAACCTGATAGCAGATGCTCCCAGTTTGAAGGGCACCTGTAAGGCTACCAATGGCTCTGTGGACAAAGAAGGAGCAGGCCCAACCACTTACTTTAGCTTTATGGCTAAGGGGATGGTGTAGAAGAAGACGTTGATCTGAAACACACATACAAAGAAGAGGCTGAAGTGCTCAAACATCTCTGCAAAGAAGTACCAAAAAAGACCAATGTTTGGGGTGAGATCTGGAACAGAAAGTCTAGAGTGAAGAAAACAAAGGGAGAGAAAAAAAAACAAAGAGAGCAAAGTTATAAATAGTCTGCTTTGACCTGGTTTTCTCCTGAAGACTTTGGTCACTGCTGGGCAGCCAAGGATGACTCTGTCCCCACAGAGATCAGGATGTGAGGGGCTTTCCAGGCACCATGGATACAGATAATTAACAAAAACAAGGGGCAGAGACGCAGAGAAGGACAGCCCGTACTAAATATTAGCTGAGCCAAACTCTGGCATGCAGCAAAGATCTGAAATGAGGCAGGGATTCATGCTAGAAATCAAAAGACCAGCCCCTCCTTTAACTGCCAAGATACACACATTTAAAATTAGGAGATACTCAGTAGTGTAACAAAAGAGGTATGGGTTTTAAGTAAACACTATTTGGGGCATTCTGCAGACTTGCCTAGAGAAACAAGCTCTAAGGTTTTGCCCCTCCCCATTCTTGCTCCATATCCCCACATCAGGAGCCAGAAGAGCGCACGCCCGACACCACACTGAGACTTCTGGGGGCTGGAGGAACCATCGGCCTGGCCTGGCTAGGATCTCAGACTTCATTTGGGAAGTAGGGGTTTAACGGAAAGCTTTCTTTTCTAGTTATATCAGATAAAAATGGGCTGTCATTCTGGCTCTTCTAAAAATTTACATTATAGGCCAGCAGAGTAGAACGTTGGTTAAGCTGGCTTGGGACGCCAGAGGGCCCTGGTTCGGATCCCACATATGAGGGCCAGTGACACTGTCCTCTACAGCTAAGATGCTGAACAACAGCTCAACCTGAAGCTGGGCTGCCGTGAGTCGCCGGCGACGGCGTAGGCTGCAGCCCCTGCTGCAGTGGGCTGCCATGGGCTACCATGTGTAGCCAGCAACCAGCATGAGCGGCCAGCAGCCGCCGTGAGTGGCCGTCCAGAAGCCGGCGACTGATCTGCCTCACCCGGGAAGAGCGCAATGATGGTGCCAGCTTGGGCCAGTGAAGCAACATCCTCCACAACTACACTGAAGAACAAAACGACAGCAACTTGTCTGTTCCCCTTCCCCCAATTCCTCAGTGCTGTTCCCATCCCCCAATTCCCCAATAAAAAATCTTTAAAAAAAATTAAAAAAAAAATTTACATTATATTTTTTATTTAAAAAAATATGGAGTTGAAACAGATGTCAATTCACAATTTCAAAAAGGCAACAAATGGAGCGTGGAGAAGGGAGAAATAGGCAATGGCTCGTGGTCAGATTTCACTAACATAGGCCTCCACCCAGGGCAAGTCTTTGCCTCTTGCTGTAATTACATTTCCTCTGCTGTGAAATGAGGTAAAGGACACAATCTGTGGTCCAGCAGAAAACCAGGAAAAGCTTTTCACTCCTATCCAAGGCAGAGCATGAAGAGCTAAAAGTTACTAAATCGGTGTTATGCTCAGCCAGGATTTAACATAAAATTAGCAGTCCAGAATCCCAAAGGGGAGTCTGCCACTCCAGATCCCTTTTCTATCCTGGCAGGTTTAAGTATCTCACACCCCACTGGGCTGTGAGTTCCTCAAGGCTTGGGCAATGGCCACCCCCCTGAGCATACCATACTGAGAGCATTTGGAAATGTCTGCAGAATTCATACTGCAAAACCGTTGAGATTTTCTCTAAAAGTTTGACACATGGGAGGTGACTTTATTTTAAAAGCGTCAGAGGCCCTATTGCAGTAGAATATATCCATTACTGCTTGGGATTGGACGAAATCTTCCCGGCAGGAGCTGGTAGGCGCTTTGGATGTCCCTAGAGTGTGCTCCTTAATCTCACTAGATCAGAGGTATGCTCTAGACCAGTGGTTCTCAAAAGTGTATTCACTGGGCCAGCAATATCAGCATCACCTGAAAACTTGTTAGAAATGGACATTCCGGGTCCCTACCCCAGACTTACTGAATCAAAAACTCTAGGGTAGTTAACAAGCCCTGAAGGTGATTCTGATGCAAACTAAAGTTTGAGGACCACTGTGTCTAGATGCACCCTGTGCTCAATTGCCCTCTGATTCCAGCTGGAGCTATGAAAACCACATTGGCTTCCCAGAGTTTTTTAATGAGGTCATTACTTACATGAAGCCGTAGACTGCAGGGATGAAATCCCAGGAGCTGAGAAGGAAGAAGGAGAGGCAAATGATTACCACTAGGCTTCCCACGTACATCATGGCATACTCCCAAGAGAAGACCCAGAAGGCTTTGCTCTTCACTTTCACGGGTATGTACTGCCTCTAGGAGAGAAGGCAAAACAGTGCATTTAGGGATGTCAAAAATAGAGAGCATTAATCAGCTTAAACTTCAAGATTACTCCTGCAAAACACAGGACACAGAATAGTTGAAAACCAAAGAATTGAAAAGATATGCTAGGTAAACATTAACTCCTAAGTTTGATTATACTGGTCCCAGATAAAACAGACTTTAATGTGAAAAGTACTGCAGAGGTAAAGATGTTCCATAATGATGAAAGATTCAATTCATCAGAAAGACGCAACAGTTCTAAACTTGTGTGTACTAGTAACACAGTCTCAGACATGGACAGAGCTACAGAGGAAAAACAGACTAATCCATCATCAGTGGATAACTGACCGATCAAACAGACAAAAATTAGAAACCAAGTAGGAAATACGAATAGCACACTTAATAAATTTGATCTCATAAGCTCTTCTACAACATAATATATAGAACAGTACACCTAGTAACTATAGAGAATTCCTATTCATTTTAAGCATTTTATAAAACTTTATAAAAACTTACCACCTACCTAAATCAGGCCATAAAACAATATCAACAAACTTCAAGGAGTTTGTATCATTCTCTGATCCATTCTCTGACCATAATGCAATTATTCGAAATCATAAATAAAAAAACCTAAAAATACATTAAGAAAAATTTAAACCCTTTCCCAAATAACTCAGAGGTCAAATAAGAAATGGTAATAGAGCATTTTGATGTAAGAAATTAATGGTTGTGAAAATACCTCATATCACTATTTGTGTAATGTAGATAAAAGAGTACTCTGAGGGAAAAATACAGCCTTATAAACTTAATATTTGAATAGAAGGCTGAAAATAAATATGCTTAACATCTGTTTTAAGATATTAGAAACAGAACGACATAATAAATCCCAAATGAAGGAAGGAAATAATAAAGGTAAGTGCAGAATTTGTTGAAATGAAAAACAAAATCACAATATAAGGAGGCAGTGAAGCCAAAAGCTAGTTCCTAGAAATGACTAATGAGACTAATCAGTCTCTGATAAGACTGATCAAGAAAAAGGAGAGATCGAATAAACAATATTAGGAATATAAATGGGAATACAACTATGGATGCATCAGTGTTAAGAAATAAAATAAAAAACTTATGCCAATATGTTTAAAAACTGAGGCAAAAATGGATACTTTCAATGAAAAATATAAATAATTTCAATGTGTCAATTAAAATGCCAGTGTCATAAAAAAATAAAATAAAAGGTAGAGATCAAAGGAGATGACAATGAAATGTGATTAATGATCCTTGATTGGATCCTGAACCCCACCTCTCCCCCAAAATGCTATAAAGGTTATGCATATATTCGAGAATTTGAATTTGGAGTGTATACATTAGACAATATGAATCTAAGACAGTTAAACTTCTTGGGTGTGCTAACAGTATTGTGGTTATGTAGAAGAATGCTCCAGTTCTTAAGAGTTACCTGCTGAGTATTTAGGGTTGATATGTTTCCTTTACCATCTCACTGCAAAGAAAGCAAGTTCCAGACCAGACTCTGGCATACTTTGCAACATTTATCAAACAGAAATTCATTAGCAAGCAGGCACAAAACAGTTCACACAGTTATCTGTAACTTCCCTGCCAATGAATCAGGAAAAAAACAGAAAGAAAAAATCGATATATCTACATTAAGATATAGAAAATGTGGTAAAATGATGGCTGGGGAATCTACATACAAGGTATTTATTATACTAGTCTTTCAATTTTTCTGAAAGCATGAAATAAAAAATTAGGGAAAAAACTAATTCAAGAACAACTAGGAAATTTTGAATGGTCCTATAACCATTTAAAAGATTGAATTAGTAATGAAAAATTTTCCCATAAAGAAAGGAGCAGGCCCAGCCGGTTTTACAGGAAAGTTCTACCAACATTCAAAAAGTAGGTGACTGTAATCTTACATTGACTCTTCCACAGCAAATATTATAAGCTTAATATCAAAACCACTTACTAACACAAATGTAAAAATGCTAAATGAACAATTACCTAATATAATTCAGCAACACATGAAAAAGATCATGATAACCACTTCATAGATGGTGTAGAGGCCTGACCACCGCACTGTATATCTGAAGCTGATGTTGAATAATAATGTATGTCAACTATAATTATATATACATATAGTCACAGGACATGGAGTAGAGTGGAATGGAGTCAATGGAATTGTAACAGATAAGCATGATATCGGGGGTGGAAGGGCAGTAGATGGGGGAGGAGGGTTGTTACTTTGTGAGGGTGAAAAGGATAACTATTGCATTGTTCTGTACACCTGAAACTAACAATAAAATTTAAAAAAAAAATGAAACCATGAAGTACAATAAATATGGT